TTAGAGGAAGTCTTCATAAGAAGGAAGAAGAAGGATATAAATGTTATAAAGCAACAAGAAATTATATTTGAAAAGAATACTAAAAGATAACATAATTCTAAGTATACTAATAAAAGTGAAAACAAAAATAAAATAATAGTTTGAGATCTACCAAGCTAGACAAAAAGAATATAAGTTTTCGAGATAGTATGCTTTATAGGAAGAGTTAAACATATAGAGATAATTAAAAGTGCATATAACAAAACTAGAACAGAAATTGAGTTTAAAGCAGACACTTGTAACAAAGAGATAAAGAAAAAGATTTGGTGTTTACTATTCGTGAACCAAATATTAGTAAGAATTACAGCAGATACTAACAATCAAGAATTACTTTGTACAAGAAATAGGTTCAGTAAAAGGCTATTAGACTTATCAGAAAATATAAATGAAGTTTTACTGTAGAAACAAATTAAGAAGTCAGAAGCAAAGATATTATATATCTTCTAAAATTCTAATAATAATAACAGGAGAAGTGTGACAGTATATTTTGAAAGCTAAGAAGATATGATAAATATCTTTAAATTTTTAATATACTACTACAACAACAAGCTAAGATAGACAAATACAAAAGAATAAGAACTCAAGTTATTCATAAGCCAGAGAGTAGAAAACTTTAGAGAACCTAAAGTATACTTAAAAAGAAGTAAAAAGAGCTTAGGAAAAAGAAAAGAAGAGAAACAAGAACAAAAAGGTGAATGCTCAAAATTTGTACAAAAGAAGTATAGAAGAATACAAGTAGTACCAAGTGATAGCAAGAAAGAGAAATATAAAATAGAAAAGAAATGTATTATTTAAAAGAAAAATAGAAACAATGAAGAAAAAAAATCAAATAAACAAAGCTATTATAGAAGTAATAATAGATCTTTAGAATATATAACTCAACTAGCTTAGCTCATACAAGGGCTAGGAGAAGAAGTTAGTAAATATGAGTATAGTACTCCAAATCACTTCTAAAAGTTATCAAAGTCTAACTACAGAAAGCCTGTATAAATTAAGAAGGAAAACTTGATTATACAAGAAATATATATAATTATACAAACTAAAAAGACAATAGAAAGAAAGTAGAGCACAAATTAGACAGGAGAAAAGATATAAACACAACAGCAAATAACAAATAGAAAGTGAAAATTAAAATAAGAATGCACAATATAAATAGACTAAAAGGAGATTGTTTAAAACTAGAACGACTAGTTGAGTATTATAAGGAAGAGCAATTTAATTTAATAGGAATTGTTGAAACTAATATCTGTGAAAAAGAAGGAAAATAGTTAAATACAAAAAATAATAGATATAGGAGCTTTTGAACAGATACTGATAAAAATAAGAACAAAGGTTTAGAAATTAGACTACTAGTAGACTTGAATTGGTACTACCACATGGGAGCTTGTAAAAAATTTAGCTTATATTTACTTAAAGCAGAATTCTATTTTAAGAAAATTATGTTACAAGTTTAGGTAGTGTATATACTACCTAAAAATGAAGAAATTGCCAAAAAAGTCTATAAAATAATTTTAGAAGAAATAGTTAAAAACAAAAAAAATATATTCATATCATCATAAGCAATTTCAATGCAGTACTTAATAGAGAATTAGATACAAATAGCAAAGAAAAAAGAATATTAGATGCCAATTCAAAAGTTATAAAGTGGCTTAAAAAAACAGATCATATAGAGACCTTTTATTTTTGCAACTCTAATACAATCAAGTTCTCATAGTCTAATAGTAGAATTGCAATAAGAATAGATTATATTTGGTGTTATTAGAATCTAAAACCATTTATTGCAAGAAGTGATATAGATAGCACAGAAACTATAACAGATAGTAACCATAATATAGTTTGGCTACAAATAAATAGTATAGATCTGTTCAAAAAAAATAAGATAAGAAACCAAAAAGAAAAGAAAGAAACAAGAAGAATATATCATTACAACAAAGCCACAAAGGAAGATTGGAAAGCATATAGTCATAAAGTAGAACAAATATTTTGAAATGCAGAAAGAAAGCAAGAAAAACAAAATAGTAAAATAGAAAATACAGAAAAAGAAAGTATTGATAATAGTTGGAATACAATAGTAAAAGCAATTACAGTAGTAGCAAATGAGTATATTCTATCAACAAAGATACAAAATACAAAGAGTTAGATTTAAAAAGAAACATCAAAATCATTAATATATAGTATAGCAAAGATACTCAAAAAATTGTTTAGAAAAGGAATGAGTAGCCTGGAGGAAATCATAGAAGAAATAGATAAAATACTCTATAATGCATGAATTAGATATCTAAACAGTAAATACAATATGCAAATACCTGAGCTACAAGATAAGTGAGAAAAAGAATAGTGTATAGAAATTAAGGAATAGTGGAATATACTAAGAGAAAGAGCAAGAAGAGAAGTTAAAGTAGAGAAAGAAAAAGAAATTAGTGAATATATCAAGAGAAAATTCACAATAGATACAGCAAACCCAAAGAAAATACTTAATAGCTTATTAGAATAACACTACAGCAAAATTGTTTTAGACAAAGTATTAGTTAATAGCAAAAAAAAATTCATGAATACAATATTAAAAACAGAAGAAGAAGAGATTAAAGAAGAGGTTGTAAAACATTTCTAGGACTAGTTTAGATGAAGAGAACATAAATTCAATGAAATAGATAACAAGTAGAAAGAAATATACAAAGAGCAAAATAATATCAAAAAAGAGTAATACAAACTAGTTATGAAAGAAATTACAGAAAAAAAGTAGAATAAAGTAATAAACACATTACAAAAAGATACTACATCAGGAATATCAGATATTGGCTATAAGCTAATCAAAAACATAAATAATGAAAGCAAAAGATGACTAATAGAGTTTGCAAACAGGATCATTCTAGAAGAGAAGTTCCTAAAGAAGTAGAAACTTGACCAAATCTATTTAATTCCAATGAGTACTAACTAGGAATATAACCTAGTAGCTATATGATCTATTATGTTACTTGAAACTTTTAGAAAGCTAGTAGTAAGAATTGTTTAGAAAAGACTATGCAAAATAATAAGTCAAAAGAATATACTTAAAAGTACAAACTTCACAAGACTATTTGAAGAAAGTACAATAGCCCTATACATATCCTTAATAATGTAATCGAAGATACTAAACAAAAAAATAATGAACTTTGAATAGTATTCCAAGATATGAAAAAAGTATTCGATTCAGTTAGCATAATAGTACTCAAACTTGCTATAAAAAGAATAAAGTTTTCTGAAAAGCTGATCATATTCATTAAGTATCTATACAAAAACTATGAAATTAGAGTAATCACAGACAATAGACCAACAAGTTTCTTTATAGCAAGGGATAGAATAGACCAAGAGGAAGTTATCTCACCTTTAATATAAAGAATTTTTTATAATCTACTACTAGTACATATATAATAAGCAAAACTTGAATACCAAATACATCTGAATTAGCTATCAGATATAAGTAAAAATATTGTAAAGAAGGAAATTATTGAGATCTCAGCATTAGCTTACACAGATAATACTACATAAATTGCATCATCTAAAGACTCACTACAGAATATTGTAAATATATCTAATAAGTTCTTTAAGCTAAATAATATAGAGATTAATAGAACAAAATCTAACGGTCATAGGAAATGTCATGCATACTGCTAATCATTATAGTGTCCATTGATGTAACACACCTAATTTTTATAAGAAATTCGAAGAAAAAAATCTATATAATTTTTATTTAAAAATAATCAAAATTATAATCTATTTTATATTTTAGATAACTATTCTTCAGCTTTAAATATTAATTTATACAATGTTTAGATAGTAGTTAAAAATGAAATTTAAAAAAATCATTATGGTTGTTACAATTCATTACTCCTTATTTTATATGTAAAATTGACGTACTGACAAGTATCGACATAGTTTGCCAAGTCACATGAAATGTTTTATATTATTTAAAATTAGAAAAATGGTAATAATTTGCATGCTGGAGCTCTAGTTATTCAGTCTAAGACTTTTAGAATTATTGTACTGCACTGCCTTTAATACTCAGGTCTTATTAAAAAAAATAGACATTATACATAGTGTGGGTATGCAAGCTGGAGGATATTGTGACATAGTGATATTATGTTTAAATTAAATCTATTAAATCAATCTTATACAATTTTTTCAGATATTATTTAAAGAAAGTATTAAATAAGGAACTAATAGCGATAGCAGTGCAGTACAGTAAACATATTCAAATTTTTTGTATTGCTATAATAGATTCATAAAGTAATCTTTGTTATTCTTCATTGTTCTAATATTTGTAATCTGTCACAAATAAAAGGTTAGCTACAAATTTTTATTTTCAAGATTTATTGCAGCTTACGAGTATTAAATCTTGTAATTACAATTTGTAATTACCTAAGCAAGAAACTGAATACAAGTGAAAGTTCTTAATTTTACTTCTGAAATATAATAATGATAAATTAATAAGTCAAATTAGTACTATCACTATTGCTATATCCTTGGTTATAGCTTGATATAATAGTGTTGGGCCCATATGATTATCTATTTTAATTTTAAAATTTTTAGCTAAGTTTCTATATAGTATAAAACACTTATATTGCTAGAAAAATAGTGATATTTTGTGAATTGAAGCCCTGAATATTTAGTTATAGGTATATATTTTGCTTTGATATTTATAATTTGTCAAAAGAAGCATCATCAAAAAGATTAGCAAATGCATGAGCGATAGTATTCCGAATTGTAATCACCTAAGCAAGACATAAAAAATCTGTATGTGAGTACAAGTTTTTGATTTTTTTTCTAAATACAATAAATTAAATTAAAATTACTTTAAACTAGAGCCAAAATATTTCTAAATTCAATAAAGCTTAAATAGTTTTCACTTTGCTCTTTTTAGCTCTAGTTAATAAATATTAAACTTTATTATTTACTTTTAGAACTCCTTTTATTGTCTTTTTTTATTTCTTCTTTTTGATGTTTCTGCTGTTAGGCAAAAGTATCAATACAACATTTTGACTTCGCCGACCTGAAGTATTGTGTGGCATAAACTTTTCAATATCTTGTTTGTAGATAAGCTGTAATCGCTCTCTTCTATAATCATAATACTCAAAAAGATTTCAAAACCCTTCATTATTATTTTGTGATGCTCTCTTAAAAAGTTGGTGTTGAGTAGGATCTGTGTGATTAAATGCTTCTAATAGTTGATTTGCTAATTTTTGCAAAACTTCTTCTCGAAATTTTATAGATCGATCTATTAGTGTTAATGAGCTTTCATTTACATATTCACTTAATAGCAAATTAAGCCGTTCTTGCTCTGATTGTACTAAAATAATTCTACATTTTAAATCCTTATTTGATCGAAAAACTGAATTTATGTTTTGTTTTATAAATTTAACACCGAATCTTTCAATTGCTTCATCAAAAGCGAAATAACAGCCTGGACATATTAAATTTACAGAACAGACATATCTAAATATTTTTTGTAAAATAGGATTCTTGCCAATATATAATAAAAAATATATAACTAACTGTGCATAATTACTATGCCTTACTACTAGAAAAAGTGGTACGAATAAGATAAGGTTTTCTATTTGCATATCATAATTTCTATGATGAATTCCAAGTTTATGACTTAACCACAAACCTGTCCAACAAAAAAATAAATACCACACTTTTACTATATTATTGTTATTTTCTAAAATATCACATATTCTTATAGATTTGTTATTTGTATACTGACAAAGAGTATTACCCACTGCGACCTATAATAACTCTAAAACACAGCATGTTGCTATATAATCAACTGCTTTTTCAAGCTTATCTAGATAAGATACTCCTAAAACAGCAGCCAAGTTAAAAACTCCATAACCAGAAAACAGATGAAGCAAAGTAGTACATATTATTTTGGATGTATGCTATCCACCAAGTATTAAACATATTTTTGGTTAAGTCTCATATAATTTTCTAAGACGTTGGAAGATAGCTTCATCACATGCTATATAAAGATACCCATTATAATTAATTTCAACATCTTCATAGTACATTTTCACAGCATTGTAGACATTTTCATCATTACATAGATTTTCATCAGGTTCTAAAATAATTACATTAGGTGGATCTACTAAACATCCTATTTGAATAATTTTTTTTATTTCTTGTCGCAATTTACAAAGATCAAAACTATGATTAGAAATTAAAAGAGAATTGAAAATATTTTCAAACTTTTGAATTTCATTTTTAGTAAAATTTGACATTCCAACCCAAAATTTATATTCAGAAATTAAACTAAATTCTTTAGCGATATTAAATAAGAATTCTGGTAATGTAAATTAGAAAACTATCTGAAGTGTAGCATGTGAAGTATACCTTTAGGCATCAAAAATATTGTCATATGTAAATGTATTTTCTTTCATATCAATGTTATCTATCACACATAAGTTCCAGATATTATTGCCAGATATAAGTTTTTTTGATATATTAACATTACCCATTCTTAATTTTTCTAATTTTCTTTCATAATGATTTGTATGTGAAACTATATTCACGGTACACAAAATTGTATAAAGTGAACTTAGTAGTTTAGGTTTTCTACATAGAGAACTCATTACATGAGAAAACCAAAAATTAATACCTAGAAATGACATTGAAAAAATTAATGATAATATAAATACTGATATCTTAATTGCTCTTTCTATATTAAATTCACTTGGGATAAGTCCACGTTGTATATGTTTTTTTTGAACAATATCCCACTTCTTTCACATAATAAAAATAATAAAGTTATCAAATAGATTTCTAATATATTTAGGAAATCCATTATGAAATTCCTGTAATGTGCTAGGTGTTTCAAGTATTTTTCGCTGTGCACATATCTCAGATCTTGATCGCCAAATCATGGTTCCTAGAGCTTCTTTTAATTCTTGTGATTGGTTTAATATAATATCAATATACTTGTTTTTTTCTTCTAATTGACATAAATTAACTTTTTTAATACGAAGTATAGCTCTAATACTAAAATATGTTGGTGGTTGAACTTTTGTAATTTGCTCAATGTTTGGGTCCTTAGATATACTTATTTTTTTATCTAAAAACTTAACAACAGCTGACCAAACCTCTTCTAAAAGTATAGCTTGAAATTCTTGATCCTGATCTGTCGACATTTCTTGAATCCATCATCCTAAAAGATGAAGGGAACATTGATTGTCATTTATATGTTTTTCAACACAAGAAAATTGTGATACACCTGTTCTTCTACGTTGAAAAAAGTGTCTACCTTCATTGTCAAAGCAGCATGAGCAAACAAATTTTGAGTATATTTGGCTTGTAGATGATTTAACGAATTGCTGATCTTTTTCAATGAATACTGGACAAACTTTTAGTCCTGCACATAGAATACAAATATTTCATCCAAATATTTTCCATAAATGTTGAGTACAACATCCTCCTCTGCTAAAAAAATACTTATCTAAATTACAAAACATGCATTTTCATTTATGAATCTAACTTTTATGAACTGAAATATGATGTTTTGACCCAACTATATGAAGATTCTTGCTTTGATCAAAATTAAAATGATTATTACAAACTCCAAGACTCGTTAATGCATTTTCTGTTCCTGCCTTGAGTGCTACATCTAAAACCTTAGAATCTAACTCCCAAATCCCTATAAACTGTTTAATTGGCCTATATACAGGTTTGAAACAACATCTAAAACCTCCTTCATATTCAAAATAATCAATGATAACACATTGAGTATTGCTTTAATTAATGTCTTTTTTGATGCTTATTGTTATTTCATAATCAATCGCATGATTATCATCTGTTGGTAAGGTTCACATTGATTCATATTCTGATTGCAAGTCATCATCTAATGCCAACCAATTAATATCTCTTTCATATTGTTCAAAATTTTCGAGTATAGATACAGCAAATTTTTTTGCATGATTTAACGCTTCTTCATTAAAAACAATATCATTAATAGTATGCTCATTATTTGTAGTTATGCTTTCATCGGTTGTAGTTTTGGGAGTGGATGGTATTTCAGATATTGATACATTTTCGAGATAGCTTTTATTATCATCTAATATTTCATAATCAATGTCAGAGTCATAATACTCAAGAAATTCTTCATTTATATACCGATACTCAAGCCATTCATCATCTATTATTTAATAGTATTTGAAAGTTTCTGCTGGGAGTTATAAAAAAAAAAAAAAAAAAAATAGTATTTGAAAGATAATTTATAAAAGGTAGCGATATTTAATATTTTAGTAATATAAAAAAAATTGAAGTCGAATAATTTTGCAAAGCATAATATTAGCATTAGATCATGTTTTAAAGTTCAATTATGATTATAATCACTTGCTTTATATTTATTAAATTAGAGAGCAGAAAAGTTCGAAGACAATAAACCAAACAATATAGATTTATTTGTTAAAAAGTATGTATCAGTATGTATAGAAAACTATTGTTATTTTTCCTTTGATATTTTCCTAATACACTGCATTATATTACATAGCAATAGTTTATTGTTATCATTATATACAATATTACTGATGCTATCAATTGATTTCGCTTTTGAGTAAGTGCATTATCATCATTATATCAAACTAACTTTCTTGATTTAACATTACAAGCATAACTCTCACTCAATCTACATTGTTATTTGTACATACAATGGTTAGAGATAGGTATCATACACACATGTTATCTGAAATGTACGCATAAATGCACATTTATGCTCATTTTTTCATTTCATGCGTATTTTTGTCTATCAAGAATTTATATCAATATATCGATATGTTTTGGTTAGGTTGCGTAATTTAGGCCAGAGAGCATAATACCAGGTAGAATTAAGAGATAGAAATTTCAAAAGTTCCAGAAAGAAATAAATGAACCTCAAAGATGAGCAAGGTCATGACTGAAATTTGAGAAACATACTGATTTTTTTTGAAAAAAAGAGAATTTATCATTATATCATATGGTATCATGCATATTTTACATTTTATGTGCATTAATATGCATTCATATGTATGTTATTATAAAATACGCATTTTTCTCATCACTAACAATGGTATTCAGTGCAAAAATAGAAATGACCTATTTGCCTTCATATCTTTTTTTGTGAGGCTTGAGAGTTTTTTATTGACTTTGCATAGCGATAGCGATAGTCTACTCTGCAGACCATAGCGATAGCAATTGCCAAATTGATTATAGATTTTCAGATTTATACAATTAAACCAAGTCACTAATAGATTAACTTTTTCAATTTTGAAAATAAAGTGTACTTTCAAGAAAAAATGAAACATTATATGATGTACTAGAAAAACTCTTATCACTGATGTTAATGATAATATTCAATTAGTGTATTATTATTTATATTACTGATAAAGATCTTTCCAGTACGTTATGTAATTGATAGTCTAAAGTCTTAATTTCAATTTGTAGCACTCACAATAACAGGAAAGTCTCTATTAAACTATTTGAGAACTGTTCTGAGAACTATTTTGAGTACTTTTATTAAAATGGGAGTATAAAACACAGTTCATCTAGGATTAAGAAATTCTAATCTGTTTTAGATAAATCGATCCCTTTCATATGTCTTTTACATGAATATGCCTACTGTTTTTGTAATAACTAGCAAATAATGTTTACTAATCTTTAAACTACGTGGATTGAATACTATAATGATAATACCCTACAGGTAGGGTTGGCAATGGAGCCAATGAAGCTCAATGGTTACACAAATAGAGCTCAAAATACTAGTATCCATTGGCTCCATTCAGAGCTCCATTAGCTCTATTGGCTCTATTCGTAGCTTTATTGGGCTCCATTGAGCTCCATTGCCAACCTGCCTAAAGGCATTATAGAACAAGTTACCAATTAAGGTCACCCACAAGTAGTGATGGGCAAATCACGGTTTTCCAAAATATTCTGTGTGGGTTATGCGCATGATAGGATTACATTGTGAGTTTCTTAAAATTATGTTAATGCGGGCCAGCTAGCCTGAATTAGGGATCATATTAAAAATCCTGTGTGGATCCTACGCATGCCCATCACTACCCACAAGTTAATAAGTCTTCAAGCATCTCATGTTTTCAATCCATTATTTCATTTCATGGTTATTATTCACTTATTTCATAACGATAATGTCAGATATTCAGATGAGAGTTGCATCTGACTTGACAATAAATGAATGCTCTATGCTCAATTCTAGCATCTAACATTATATATTTATCAGCATTCCTTGTTTTGGGTTTTTGATAGAAAAAATACGTATTTTATAATAACATTTGCATAAATGTATATTAATGCGCATGAAATGTAAAATGTGCATGATACCGCATGATGTAAATTCTCTTTATTCTGTTTCATTTTGAAAAAAATTGGTCACGACCTTGCTCGTCTTTAGGTTCATTCACTTCTTTTCAGAACTTTTGAAATTCCTATCCTTTAATTCCGCCTAGCATTATGCTCCTAGGCTAAATTACGCGGCCTAACCAAAATATATATAAATTCTTGATGAGCAAAAATGCGTATTAAATGAAAAAATATGCATAAATACGCATTCAGTACACATTTCAGGTATCATGCGTACGCATGATACCTATCTCTAGTTTTTGATAATAAGTAAACTTTGTAAAAGTGAAAATTACCACTCGCCATTGCAGTGGTCTAATGTAGTACAAATTATAAAAATTCCAATTACCTGAATTCTTGACTAACGCTAACTATTATAACTAACTTTAATTACACAGGCTAACTCATAAACGCCTCGGTCGAAGTGTTTTAGTTATTAGAGTTGGTTATAGTAGTTGCATAAGTTGTATTGTTACTACTCGGAAGCTTGATATCATTTTTCACTATTTTAACATCCTTCTTAACTTCAACATTTCAATAACAATTTCTAATACTGTAAGTTTCTTTTTTTTATCACTTTTGGATTTCTGTTTCATGGGACTTTTGATGATAAATAAATGCATTATTATCTTCCGAGTTCATCTATTTCAACTCCTACTTTATCTCGTTAATAAATACTAAGACTGTTCATTTCGCATATTCTATTTGCTTTTCTGATCTTAGTAAATTTTGATAGCAAACTTTGACACTGTTTTTAGCATACATATCATTTCACAATATGTAACTCTGTCACAAGTCAGATGTGTTCAAATTATATAATTAGGTCACTTGCAATTGAATTTTCAGTTAACGTTACTTTTAGAACTCTTGGGGAGATAAAATTAAACGAATATATAGAATGAACAGATATGAGACAATTTGATTGGTCAATGTTAAATCAAGAGATTGGTGAGAGTTATCCAGCATTTTGATTAGTTATTCATTTCTCAGGAGGAGCCTTTAGCTGAGGGGAGGTGACATTAACCGAAGAATCAACTTCGAACAGCCTTATTAACAATAAATATTCTATTCATTTTTATTTCAGTAAATCCTTGGGATAGGTAGAAGAATGTACCAGATCCAAGTCGAGCAGTGAAGGAAAAGTACACTGTCGATTACAAACTTTCTATTGAATCTTAAATAACATTTGGTCAATTAATTCGGTTATATACAGAATTAAGAAAAAATCCTTTATAATACATGCTGAAATTTATCAAGAAAACCAAAAAAATTATATATAGTGCATATTTAACATTTTCAGAAAATAAGGTACAGTACCAATCATAGAATGGCAATCAGTCACGTGATTGCCTCACTTTGTTAACTTTGATTTATGATTCTTTTAAAGCAAATGTACATATGTGGATAAAAATTGTATCTATGAAAAGTAGTGAAACCGAACTTATTTCATGTTAATTAATTATTTAGATTTACTTTTGAAAAAAGATAAAATATTAGAAAAGAAGTTCTTCGACTGCTTTTTTTTTATATAAAAATTACTAAAAATGATGTGCAAATTTATTATAGACATGCATTAGATTATAAAAATCAGGAACATACTCTGCACTAATCATATAATGACAGTTAATTACATGAGATCATTTACTTTGTTAACTTTGGGTTACGATTCTTTTAAAGCAAATACACATATGTGAATAAAAATTGTATCTATGAAAGGTAGTGAAACTGAACTTATTTTATGTTAATTAATCATTTAGATTTATTTTAGAAAAAAGACAAAACATTAGAAAAGAAGTTCTTCGACTGTCTTTTTTCATATAAAAATTATGAAAAATGATGTGCAAATTTACTATAAACATGCATCAGGTTATGAAAATCAGGAACATATCTGTTGACTGCTAAAATAATTGCATAGAGATTAGGTATAAAATTCAAGGCATCAGACAGTATCTGAATAGAAACACTACTAGAGTATGTTGAAGTTAAGAAAATAGAAGAAAGCACAAGATTCTTAGGAGTTTGAATTAATCTCAAAAACTAAGAAAAAGCAAGTATAAGCTAGTGCAGAAAAGTAGTAAGTAGTATAACAAGTATGTTAAGAATAAAAAAGTTATTAGTCAATCAAATAATATATATAAACAATATGATACTATTATCTAAATTAGAGTATATTCTATCAAATATATTAATAGAGCAAAAAAAATATGATGCAATATACTAACCATTTCTTAAACTATTAAAGCAAAAAGCTGAACTACTAATTATATGTATTAATACAATAATCCTACACAGAGAAATCTTCAGAATTATGAGTTTATAGCAGAAGTATATAGAGCATCATATATCTGAGCTATTTATATATATAAATTCAAATGACCTCTTAGATAATACAACTAATATGTGACTCAAACAATACTAATTAGATCTAAACTCAGTTGAGTATATTCTATTAGTACAAAACAATAATTAAAAAGGCTCTAGTATTAAAAATCTAGATGCTAAAACATTATATTTTGCTAAAAAACTCGAATTTATAGTCTTCAACAGTATAAATACAGAAAGCTAAAATATTTTAGAATTAAATAGAAGAAATGATTTGCTAGTTGAAAATATTCTCAGAAAAGTTAAAAAAGGAAAGCATACAGTTGAAGCTAGCAGACTAAATATTTGGTATTTAATCAGCTTCTTGATTACAAAAAAGAATATATGATAACTTGAAGATAATTTAAAGTACTAAGAAAAAAATATGTAAGTAAAAAAGCTAAATAGTTTGCAATATTAGAAAAAGAAGTAATTGAAGACATGTGTTCAAGAAGAATTAAAGAAGAGTTTAAAGGAGAAGAAGGCTTGCAAATTGAGTATGAAAGAGAAAAGGTATCCAAAGACAAAAAAAAAAGAGAGTAGATTTTATTGAGCCAGATATAGTTAGAAAAATAAAATTAGGATGTATTACAAGAAAAAGTAGAAAAACTGCAGAAGTAGAAGTATGAGAGGAAGATAAAGAAAATGAAATATAATACACAGAAGAGTATAATGAAGATTTCAAAATACTGAAGAAAGAAGATATCAGAAGATGAGTAGAATTAAAAAAAGTGCAAGATATCTCAAATCTAATTAGAAAGAAAAAAAGTGATATATATATAATAGTAAACAAGGAAGAGTTTCTTAGAAGAGATGAAAAAGAAAAGAGAACAGCAAGGCATAATGAAATAAAAGAGCTCATAGGTCTCAAGAGAGTAATAATAGAAGACAATTGGAGTACAGAATTAATAAAGCAGGTAATTAACGAAGAAAGCATTAGAGCAGAACTAGGTGATAGTCTTAGAAAGAATATAAAGAGAAAAAAGATAGTAGTGTATACTAATAGGTCATTGCAAAGAGAGAATGTATAGCAAAAAATAAGATATAGCATAGTACAGATAGATGAGCAAAATGAAGTAGTGTGTAGTCATAAGGGTAGAATTAGAAACTAGTTCTCATCAACTTGAGTGGAGCTAGCAGTATGTTTAATGGTAGTATTAATAGCACCAAATGAATGCAGTATAGAAATATATACAGATAGTATATGTATAATATTAGTAATAACAAAAAGCCTGAAGAATAAAAGTATATGATGCTGGCTTAAAACCAAAAATAATAGCCTTTTATGAGTAATAGTCAAAGCTTGCAGAAGCAAGAAAATACAACTAGAGCTGACTAAAGTAAAAGCATACTCAGGTGATCTATATAATGACATAGCAGATCAGTTAGTAAAAGAAGATACAAATAGAGATATACTGCTAAAAGTTAATAATGTCAGTATCAAAAATATTAAGTTCATTCCAAAGTGAGAAGGTTGCAAATTAGACATACTACTAAGAACATTTGTTAAGAATTTAGTTTAAACAATATACAAGGCAGAATAGATATAGTTAAGGAAAAAAAATAATATTTGGTATCAGAATCGTCTCAAAAGTCAAAACTAGAAAGTATTCAAAAGCTTGTTAAGAAGTTGTTATAAGTAGCAAAGTAGAAGCATAAAAACAAACTACTTACATATATTTAAAGTAAAGTGTATTGAGAATTTGCTTCCTACTATCAAAGTATTAAACAATAGAAAACTGAATGTATATAAGAACAATATATGCAAAAGATGTTTTAATAAGCTAGAATTAGATGAGCATATTATCTGCTATAAAAAGCACAGGATATATTAACAATAATAATTGAAGAAGTTTAAAAAAAGATACAAAGTGATAAGAGAAGAGAAGAAAGTTGGAATCTCTACAAGTTAAAGCAGATCATAATAAAGACATCTGAAAAAGAAAAACAAACCCAACATGTTAAATAGCTATGAGGAATCTTAAATAAAAATATTGCTAGAAAAATAAAGGAAGTAATTGTTATGAAGAAATCTACTATAAAATTCTAATGTATATTCTGGAATCTTTAGATAGAACATATATACTTAGAAGTCTGAATTCAAAGATGTACAGATATGAATAATTAAGAAAAAGATGAAAAAATATCGCTAAAAGACAAAAAAGTTAGCAAAATAAGAAAAACAAGAGAAAGGAATAAAAAAAAAAGATAAACAAAGCAAGCTGAACTATATTAGATGAAGAATGAATAGATAAGAACAGTAAGGTATTGAGTTTAGACTTTAAATTAGCAAATGATAGTTTGTTAGAGAGAATTGTAAAAAGAGAAAAAGGTTTATAAATATAATTAGCAAATATAATAGGCTGTG